CAACAAGACAAATAGCATTGTGAAGCAACCATTCACCGCTTTTTTTTTTTCTGACCACTGAAAACTGATACATTGGATTCTCTAGGCAACTGCATTTTTCACATCATCATTGCCAACTTCACAATCATAATAATAAAAGGTAAGACACAGAGGCTGTTCTAGATAAAATACAGAACAAGTCAGCCAATGGTATCTATACCTCTCCAATTGTGATGAATGCCTGGTGCTAGAAGCCAGTAATTGTTCTTTTACTACCACAGAACATAGCCACTACTGAACATGCTGCATGAGATGTTAGAATATTATCACAACCACACAGATCTGTTGTATGTTAGTTATGTTTACACACAGAAATTTGTGAACCAAAAATTGAATTTATGAACTTAAAATTCCAAGAACTAAGTTGAAGAAGATGAAGAACTGGTATACAGATGATTATTTTGTATAAACTACTCCTTTGTTCTTGGTCTTACAAAAGTGAATATAAAAATTAGCAATGAGTAAAGCTTGAGCAACTGCTCAGTGTATGCCATATTGCAATAACAATTAAGTAATCTTCTCAAATGGTTTCAACATAAAGCAAGCACATATCTGAACTTCTGGGACCTTTGAAGCAACTTACATATCCTTAAAATAGTTCTTACTGGAGAAGTATATCATATATACGAAAGAGCATTACACCACACTACCAAAGGAGAAAACAAGTTTTCACCAACCAGTATGAAATGTCCTTGCAACCTTCATTTATTTGTAGATTTCAAAGAAAAATTATTTCCTTAGTAGAAACCATGCAGTTTAAACACGTAGATTATATACTGTAATACAAGACTTTCAGGTAAATGTCTCTTAAAAGAGATATAAGCTGTTACTTGACAAAAATTTTAAGAGTACAAAATTCCTTTTTTATATTTCGTATTTGTCTCAGCTGTGTTTCGGTTATATCATTTGTCAGCCAAGTGATACATTCAATCATAGAATTCTGTCATTTGTTTAAAGGAAGAGGAGTTTGTGAGACAATTTGTACCTACTCTAAGTGACAACTTAGATACAAGCGGGAAAACAAATCTGAGATACTGTAGGTCTTGGCACCTTTTACACCATTTGATTTTGCGCATGTTGTCTATATTTGTGTGTACAAAAACAGTCAAAACCAAACGAGAAAAATCTTGCCAGTATCATGCCCAAGTATCTGTTTTTAGATGAGTTTATATAAATATATAGCGAGCCCAGTTTTTTCCGAATTGCATTTCTAATCTTTACAATGATGAAACAAACTATAGACCAATTAGCCAAGCTTTATAAACAAAATGTCCTAAGTTTCCATTAACTTGTTCCACTATGGCTAGACAATTATGTATTCCCAAACAGTCATGTGACTTCCTGACAGTCATATGGTATGGCAACAGTCAAAAGAAAGAAAGTATTTTTCAACAACCAAGTGGAAAGGAAGACTTCAGTGAAAAAAGATTTAAATTGAAAGATTTAAAAATAAAAAATAAATCTAGGCTGGTTTTGGCATACTTTTCATATATATTATAATTAGCAAGTTTATATTCCTCAATGATACAAAAATTCTATTAAATTCCTTACCATATTGTCTGGATTGGTATTGTGATTGTAATGCCTTCCTTATATTGTAAAGCACTGCGCAAACTGTTGGCGCTATATAAATCCTGTATAATAATAATAACAATATTTTCAAACCACCTGACATACTGTACCAGTCAAGACACAATGCAAAGATGATGGACAATAATAATATAGCTGATTTACGCTGGGTGAATATCAATTTTTTGGAACACAATATTACAGGTCCCGTACCTTAGTGACAGTTAAATTTAACACAGTCTTCCCAAAAGCCAATATGTGACATTTATGGAGTTTTTTTTCTTTTCAGCAATGAAGTACCACAAGCCCTCATCACTCATCAGACCCCAATGCATCAAAAACAGGTGCAATATCATTCAACCTCGTTGATGGTAACTGTTGTAGCATTATACAATATAAAGTACAATGTACCAAGTCATAACAAATATGATGAGAATGATACAGCTTAATTGTATCATTAGAATGGAGTGTCGCACTTAGCAAAATTCAATAATGTACTTGGATCACATGTCACAATGAGGCTCTCTAATTGTATTTTTAATTATGTATTGGCCTCGGACGACTGTGATTTATTTGTATTCTGGGTTTAAATCCTACTTCATCAAACCCAGCTAAAGCATGCAAGAGATCCGCCATTATGGATTGTCATGCAATATTCTTTCTGAGCATCACATGGCTTTGGCACTGAATCGAAGTAGATAGTGATCATATAACGCACAGGCTTAAGGTTTCATGACTCTGATGCATCAAAATCACCATTTGAAAATCCTACTGATGCTTGTAGTTTTCTGGTTGTTATTTTCCAACAGGCAATACAAAGAAAGGAGGTCAGTACAATATAGTGCATCACCACATACTGTACACAGACTTCAGGAACTAATGGTTCTGCAAGTAATTTTTTGTTGAATTATTAAACATTAGGGTAATGCTCTTTGGATCCTGTTTTAATTATTCATATTAATGCTCGGAGATGGAATGGAGTTTTTTCCTTATTAACAGATTGTTTTATAACTGTCAATATAAATTAAATAATATGTTTTTTTTTCTTCATCTGTCAATTTTAAAAATAAAAAAAACACATCTAGTCTACAACCCTGTATGTACAATTTGGAAGTGATGAATAGTATTGTGATAAAACAGTTACATAATAAAATCTTAGCCTCTGATATATTATACTTGAGTGATTAGGGTTGGAAAGGCTTGCATATCGACATCAAAAACTCACACATATTGGTGGTGATTTGCTAAAGGAGAAAGCATGTTCATGTTGCAAACTGCATTTTTACCTGGTGAATGAAGTGTAGCTGTGCTGACTTCATTCATCCAATGATGTGTGAGCAAAATCCTTTTTTTTTTCCTTGCATACCATTGGGTATTCTTTGCAAAATGATTTTTGTTTAGTTTCACCTCATTCACTAATCTAGGTGAAAATTCACTTTGCAAAGTGAACATTATCTATTCCATTGGTAAATCAGCCCCATTGTGTGGATTCCAAGAATTTTCCAAGAATATCATTTCTTAAGGCTCCAGTTGGACCTCATTTAAGGCTCTGTATAAGGCTATCAAACTCAATTTTTTTTTCCGTCTGGCATGTCTGAGCACAAGCCTAAAAAAATGAGTACCAAATCTGCTATCTTTATCCTGCAATAAACCGAAAATGACATTTAAAGGAAACAATCTCTTGTCCATTTAGGGAACATGGCCTTCCTTTCTATGGCCATGTGTGACAGTAATTAATATGGAAAACTCAACAGAAGCCAGCATAAATAGCAGAGTATGACAGGATTAGTATTGGGTGACACAGAATCTGCCTTCCTGAGCATATGCAGCAAAAATAAGCCCAAAAAAGAAAACATAAAAAAAAGATGCTAACCTATTCATCCTATCTTCAATAATAGCCAGATAAGACTGTAAAAGGAAAGCTGACATAAATGTATGCCTTTCTCTTTTATTATGACTCCTAAAACTTAAATGAGGATCCCACTGTACTTTGATCTATTGTTCTAAAGTGCAAATGCTGTTACAGTTTCCTACTGGGGCAGGCAACAGCTGCAGCCAAAGTATCACATACAGTGTGCCTTGGGCATGCTGGCTATGTCAACAGATTATCTTGCACTGAGCTGTCTAGACTGTTATTAATATGCAACTGATTCAAAGAACTGACCTTGTAAATTGTGTGTTTTTTTTTTTTTTAAAAAGGAGTGAAAAATCTTCATCATTATTTTAATTAGCCTTTTCAGTAAACATGGCAGCCTATGTGGTTGCAGCACAACCAACAATGAAAAGGTACACACGTTTTTCATGACCTTTAGCTCATTATTGATAAAGAATACCACCATCATATTATCGGTATCACTGGATCTGTGCCATGATACCTAACAGTCAATATTTAATTCTTCAATAGCACTAGAAATATCACCATACAGAAGTTTCCACATGCAGTCACTTCTTCACAAAGCACACATAAGCATACCCTTCCTAACAGCACTATGTACTGCTACATTCAATGCTGAAGGGCACATTATGCCATTATTTATTAAATAACCTTATTCCTTTTGGACATATGGCTACTTATATAACATTATGTCCACTGAAGCTAATCTATGCCTAAAACATCACCAGCTGCCAAAAAAAGAAAAGATCAATATCCCATCTGCATTGGAAAGAGTACACACATATAAAACCAGCCATTGTCCCACTGTATGTATGGCATTCATATAAGAGAAGTCTTGTTTAATACAGTAAATGACTTCCTCACTTTAGGCTCCTATTGTGTTACAGTATCTCAGTGCAGCACATGGAGCAAGACACTCCTTACAATCAGTGAATGGCAAGCGTCATTTAAAATGGACATCACACAAGTTTGCATCTTAGAATATGATCTATATATTAGAAACACAGTCTATCCTTATTTTTAACTTTGTTCAGATATTGCAGGTGAATCGACTTCAATCCAAAAGATTTAGAACAGAATGGTATAGATAAGCATCCTATGCTTTCTGCTGAATTATGAAGCACTAAGATAGATTTGCTGAATAAGCATTCATTTTATACAAATATCAGTGCTGAAATAACATACATGCATCCAAACAGACTGACAATCAGTTTTTCTTTTCCTTCTGACACAAAATAATAAATGAAGCTGGTCCTATTTCATGAAATAAAATGCTGTCAGCTTTCCAACGTGCTCGATACAATTAAATCCACATGGTGGAGGGAAAAAATAAAACAGCTGCTTTTTTTCCCCCCAAATCCCTGATGATCAGTGACATTTGTAAAACATTACAAACCGAAAATGTGAAAGATAGCAGAGAATTTCCAAAAATGAATGGCAAAGTGAACGTGCATGTCTGTGCAGTTAAAGCTTTACAGGATTAATTTAAATCATTCACCTGCTGCCAATTCTCCTCCAAAGATGGCATTGCTGAGAAGTAGCCCGTGTCGTGCACAATCTGCAGCTCCTGGAATATGCTATAACTAGCCAAAACATCCATGTTTGCAAGATGGGAAGAGGAATGTTGGAATAATCCTTAACTGCTGTCCTTTTACAACAAGGATAGATCCGGAGTCCCTTTTTGGGGAGCGTTTAGAGGTGGTTGGAACAGTCAGCAGAAGCTCACAAGCAACAACCGAACAATAAGTGCTGATCAATCAAACCCCAGCATTTGAAAAATGCAAATGATGATTAATACAGATATGTTGTAGATAAAAAAAAAAAAAAACTCTATAGAAAAAGCAATGGAAGCAGTCAACATCCAGGGTTACTAATGGGATGCAAGGAATCCTTGGCAAGGTTTTAGTGTCTCCAGAGCTTGTACCAGGAAGGAAGATGCAAACTCAGTGACAAGAAACTGTCACCTATTGGTACACTAGTGCTGCTTGCTCATGGATGCAATCTTTGCTCTCTATATTAGGAGGAAGGAGGGGGGGAGAGAGAAGTGCTTGCATTTTTTCCTCTCATTTTCTCTCTCTCTCTCTCTTTTTCTCCCCCTCTGTTTCTTGAGAGACTTTCTCCCTCCTCCTCCACCAGATCTACCAGATGAGTAAACTCCACCTCCATCCCTCCTCCTCCCCTCCTCTAAACAGACAGACACCATTGCACAGGCATGAAAAATTCTTGAAAAAAAAGCTGTCACTCAGTGAAGCCTGTGACCATGTGTTATGGTTTCCTACTGGGGCAGGCAACAGCTGCAGCCAAAGTATTACATACAGTGTGCCTTGGGCTTGATGGCCAAATTAACAGATTATTCTCCACTGGGTTGTCTGCAGGAAGGGCCAGTGACTTGCAGACCTCATAGGAGTAAGGGACTGCAAGTCCCAGCATGTACTGTGAGCCAGATCCTAGCTCTCCCCATAGCATCATGACCAGAGGTTGACCATACTTGGTGTGCTATACATTCAACATGGCCTTGCTAGTAGTAGCAGGTTTTTACATTTGCACGAGAAAGGGTTAATCCTAAAAACTAATCATGTTATTTAGAATGTTAAAAAAACATGTCAGATGCGGAATCAAGGCATCCTGGGGCTTCTAGTTCCTCAACAATAAAAGGACACAGATTGAGCAGATATAATTTTCAGCTGATCCTAAGAACTGCTGCATATGCTGTATACATTGTTTCTTTTTTTTTTTTAAAGTAAAAAACCTACAATATTTCTAAAAGGGACAGGCTGTAAATGCAGGGACTTGTAGTTCCTCAACAGCTGATAGGCCACAGGTTGGCCATGTGTGGTCTAGCCTGTTACTTATATGCAACTGAGTTGGGGTTGGAAGCTGTGGCCTTTCTACAAGATGGAGTGGAAATCAAAAGAATAATTCCAATAGGTATGATAAAAAAATAACAGTGGAATATAAAAATAACAAGCTTCCCTGACAACATAAAAAAAATGTATCCATGTATTTTAAAGACATTCTCTGCTTTGAGGATAAAGAATGGCAATCATAAATCACATTGTCAATATCAATGGACCAGAGCCATCAGTGCATCAACCATCTCTAATGTAATATGCAACATTTAATTATTCACTAGCAATTCCAAATCACAGGACCAAAGTCTCTCGCGTTGCACATGTGAAGCCTTTTGCCCTAAAGCACAGCCCAGCAATTGGATGACTAAGTCCTATAATTAAACATCACCACGCATGTTGGACCATTGTTTAGTAACTTATTCTGATTTATTTCAGGCATAACACAGCCTTTGTGGGAGCTCTTCTGCATCCAGTAGTATCATTGTCAGAAGGACTTTTCTCCAGTCTCTACAAACTGCACTGGAAAGAAGGGGGAAACAGATTCTTGCAATTTCCAAAGTACTAACCCTGTGTTAGCTTTATACAAGACAACAGTGACATCCCTAGCCCAAGCTGCTTGCTGTGTTACTGTATCTCTGTGCAGCACATGCAATGACACAATTGTTAAAAAAGAACACAATGCAGAATGCCAAGGGTTGTTAAAAAAAATAATGTCATGCTACTAGTTAGGGTTTATAAACAGGCGCTTTCTTTGTTTACTTTTCCTTAGCCTGTCACTAATAAATAAAATAATCCAAAAAAATAAACAGAAAAATTTATA